CCCCAAAACCCCAAAACCCCAAAACCCCAAAACCCCAAAACCCCTCAAATCAGATTCTAATGAAGTAATAGAAATTAATAAAATAGCAAAATGTTTGAGATTAAATTGCACGTTTATGATCTATCATAAGGGATGGCAGCTCAATTTTCAAGATAGTTAGTAGGCAAACACATTGAGGGTGTGTGGCATACTGGAATAGTAGTCTATGGCAAAGAGTATTACTTTGGAGGTGGAATCTCTTATGATGCCCCAGGTCAAACACCATTTGGTAAGATTAACCAAATATCTCAAAACTGATAATCTAATCATCCCTTTAGGCAGACCCACTAAAACTATGGATCTTGGCTTTACTGAAATTCCAGAGGATATATTCTTAGAATTCTTGAGAGAAGTTAACCCACGCTTTACCTAAGAAACCTATCATGTCTTTAAGCACAACTGCAATAACTTCACTGATGAATGCGCATAATTTTTGATGGGCTAAGGCATTCCTCATGAAATTGTTGATTTGCCCAATCAATTCTTGAACACTCCGCTTGGAAAGATGGTTGGACCTATGATGCAATAAGCTTAAGATAGCTTGAAAGTTAGAAGTCATTCTCTATTTGATGATGGGGGACATTAAAATCCACTATAAACTACAGGGACTATTCCTCAAGGTTCTAACTTTGGAGGAAATTAGCCGAATATGAATGATATGAACAGTCTTATTAATCAATTCGCCAGCGGGATGGGAGGAGTTGGATCAGGTCCAGGCTCTGGAGGATAATCAACTGCATCTTCTAATTACAGTAGCAGTAGTTCCTCAAAAGGAGCAATCGCCATTAAAAATCTGCAGCAATTGCAAAAACTTATTAAAGAGACTCCTGCTCTTGCTATTGATTTTTGGAGCCCTACTTGCCCTCCTTGTATTAGAATTAAACCAGTTTTCGAATCTCTTGCACAATCAAATGATGTAAGATCTATTAATTAAGTGAATATTTTCAGAATGAAAACTTAAAGTTTGCAACAGTCAATACCTAGGAATGCAGAGATTGTGCTATGGCATTTAAAATTACGTCAATTCCCTAATTCTACTTCTATCTTAGAGGTGATTAATTTAGAGAGTTCAAGGGTGCTAGAGAAGATTAACTTATGTCAACCTTAATAGAGCTAGGTGAATTAGTTATGACTAAGAGCTCTACCCATAAAAATCTAAACTATAAATAGTTCCGACCCATGAATTTAGCACCTCAAGGATTTACAAGTATGGGAAATATTGATAAAATGAGGGAGTTCGTTTAAACCTTTGCTAATTCAGATGATGTGAAGAAGGAAGTGAAATCGACTGAGAATTTACAAAAATGGCTGGTGGGATTCAAACTTGAAAACATGCCAAGAGAAGCTATTGATGAACTAATTTCAATGATTGAAATCGCTGAAGATAAGTTCAAGATTGCTTTAATTGATCTATTGAGACTACTAATGATGTATGAGCACACTTCAGCTCATATATTGAATAGACATTGGAACACTTTTGAGGTGACTGTATTCGGCTATATTTAATGCATGGATATCAGAGATGCTGATGCTAAAGTAATGCAAAACTACCATATGATATGCCTGAAAATGCTTGGAAATATTTACCAAACAGAGGCAGGTAAAGAATTCCTACAGGGGGATGATGCAAGCAGTGCTTTAATTGACTTTTGCACATATAGTTTTTCATCTATTAATCCTAAAGTTGTATTCGCTGCAGCAATTGTACTCTTTAATCATATTCTTTGCTACAAGAGGGAAAAGAGTCTTTTATATAATCACTTGGAAAAAGCTATTCTAAAGATTAACGAAGCATTTGCAGATCCAACTCTTGTAGACTTCGAAGCAGTATATGGACTTCTTTTATGTGAATGCAGGATAGTTTATTAAAACAATGATATTTGTAAAATGATAGTGGAGAAGCAGGAAGAAATCTTTAAGAAGAATCATCAAGTATTAGAATTAAGAGTTAAAAATCCAAAAGTAAAGGAGTCCATCGATGATGTTTTCCAAATGCTTTTCGATTGAAATTGAGTGATCTAATATTTTAAACACAATAAGCTTAATATTAAGACAGTTTTAATTCAAGAATTTTTCATATTATAATATATTATAGAATAAAATTCATCATAGATCATTAAGGGCGACTGTGGCGAAGTATTGGACATCTCTATCTGAATCGTTAGCTAATTCCTTAAGACCTGGGACGATTACCTATGAAACACTGGAAGCATCAATGCTAGACCTCATCTTGTGGATGATCTTGGCGACGGTGAATCTAACGTTGGGAATAGGGTCTTTCATTGCCTTTACAAAAACTGGGAGTACCTGTGATGCAACTTAGTCTTTGCTTAGGAATGGCATAACAGCTTGAAGTGAATGAAGACAGCACATTCTGTAGTTATAGCCTTGCTTATCAACGTTAAATACTTCAATTACTCTTGGAATGAAGCTAGAGTTAATCCAATCAGCCTTGAATCTCTCTGCTAATTCTTTAGCTTTCTTTATGCCCATCTCTCTTACTGAGGCAGCTGTGTTGTTCAAGTAGGTTAAGAAAATACTCTCAAGATGCTTGGTGAAAACCTCCTTTCCATAAAGCTTGCTTAGATCTCCGATTAGTTCGAAGACAGCCATTCTTACTCTCCATTGAGCATCCTTGGTCATGTTTGTCAAGGTGGTCAAGAAAGAGGGGGAGAGAATCTCTGGTCCAACAATTTAAGCAACCTTAATAAGACCTTAAGTGACATTTAGTCTAACATCTGCATTTTCGTCCTTAATTAATTCCATCAGAATTGGTAAGACTTTTTGAACAGTGTAGTCTTTGCCGACAATTGCTGCCATCTCACTAAGAGCGTTGGCAACTCCTCCTTTAAATGAGGTTTATGCATCAGCATAAGCATTTTATAGGGTTGGTAGAAGAGTGTTGCAGATCTTCTCGGTGCTTAGATTCTTTAAGCAAAGAGTCATGCTCTGGATAGCAGCATTCTTTACTTCTGGCTCACCATCATTTAGTAGCTGAGTGAATGCTTGAATAAGGTTGCTGTCAGTAATTTCTTTTCCAAAAGCATCAGTCAACTCTGCAAAGTTCTTGGCAAAAGCCAATCTAACCTTCCATGATTTATCCTCTCCTGCAGCAACAAGAGTGCCAAGAGTATGAATCTAATTCTCCTCTTTGGTCATGTACTTGGCCATTGGGATGAAGCTCTCTAAGCAAAGTACTCTAATTGCATCTTGCTCATCTTGAGATAGCTGCTTGAAAATTGGTAGAATTTCTTAGATTAAATGTTGCTTTTCAAGTTGGGTTGCAAAAATCTACAAAGAATGTGATTAATACTATTAATAATAATTACTCCAAGCTTAGATGCACATGCTCTTCTAATCATTGGAGTGTCTTCATTGCAAAGTTCGATAAACTTCTTTCTAAGCTTATCCTTTTGAGTATTTGATCTTGTATAGGCTGGGAAAAATAGTGCGCAGGATGATACTCTTCCGGTGAACCACTCACCTTGGGCAAGTCTAATGACCATTGGAGCGAACACATTCTAGATTTCAGCATCAGAAAGAGCTTTTGAGATGGTAGTCAATGACTTAGTAGCCTATTATTTAAATAAAAATTTTAATATAAATCTTTACTTATTCTCTGACTACAGTTTCGTCAACCTTGGCTAAATTTTCCAACAGTGTAAGGAATGAAGTCTTGTCTGGTAAAAGTTCCCTATATTCACATTATTACTGTTAGCTTAGTTTATACTTACCAAACCTTTCCTAGCTCTTCAGCAATAGCAAAAAGAGTCTCATCATCTTCTCTTTCAATCAAATCTTAAGAATTTTATAAAAGGGCATTTTACTTTCAAGGAAGGGTATGAGTTTCTTAATGGTGTCGTCTACTCCAATGCACAGAATTACAGTTTTGATTCTATGAATAGCGTTTACTTTCAAGTGAATCTCCTCAGTCTCTAATTCTTCCTTTAATAGGTCAAGGGCGTTAATATCCTCCATCTATGATTCTAAAATTTGGTTAATAAAGTGTCATTAAGAAGAAAACAAATGTATATCTATTGAAGGAAGAAATGAATGGCTGCTTACCTCTCTATTTAATTTGAAATTAATTATTATGTGATTTTAAATCTTACTCTTTATATACCTTAAACTTTAAGAAATAGTTAGGGACGGGGTTTTGGGGTTTTGGGGTTTTGGGGAGATCGGAA